GGCAGCGTTTATGACCGCCTTACCCTACGCCACGGCCATGAGCCCGGAAGTCCGAGACGAGGCCTACCAAGAGATCCAGCAACAGAAGCAAGACATATTGATTCCTCTCTACGACCCCTCTCCTTTTAAACTACCGAGAACTGGCCCGGAAGGCGTCCCCCCCCCCCACCCCCCCGCGGTCATTCTCGAGGCGAGAGTCATCGTTCATTGTTCCGAGATCTGGACGTTTAGTTCTCAGGTGACTTGCAGTCCGAGGGGCACAGGCGCACAGTCACGGTGAGATGCGGTTGTGCGTGTGTAATTCGGGCGAATCGCGACGTCAAATTTTTTATCAGGTGGAACTCCGCCGAAGTCTTTTAAGGGCTTCCACGTTCGAGGGACGCGAATGGCAATTACCTGCAATTATGCGATAATGGCAGGAAAAGGGTCCTTACGAAGGCCATGGCGCAAGCGAACGTCTCTCGCGAAGGCGGTGGATTTAAGATTTAAAAATTGTTTACCCCGACGACGATGCGAGTTTCTCTCACCTCCGTCAAAAGAAGAATGGATTCGTACCGATGTAAAACCCGGTAATTTGATGAGGTCATTCCTCGACTCCATCCAACGTCCGAGCGAGTGGGCAGGAAAGACAGCCTAAGATTCCCTTTGAAGCAATGCCAATTGGCGTCAAAGGGGGGGGGGGGGGGGGACCGGGTAAGACCATGACATCGCGAAATCCGAAACTTGTGAAAAGGTCCTTCGCACCGAAAAATCTCTTTCTTTTTGAGATGGGTTTTGGGAATTCGACGTCCGGCCATCTCACATTAGATCGGTGCTGTCACGAAAATCCTTTTTCCGTCGCCATCATTCCAAATTTTTCCATTTCAATTCCTAACGATCCCGGTTCATCCTCGTTGCATTTTCGAAGATCCCAATAGCCAATGGATGCGGGTACTAGTAATCGATAACTTATTTCACAATTGAGTATTTGTGAATACTCCTTTTATGAACGAGTTTTCGAATCATAGGCACATTTCCTTTGAGATCTTCGACGACCGTTCCTTTCTCGCATCACCTGAAAGAAAAGAATTTGATGATTTCATGTCATTGTTTCCGTTCTCGAGAGCCGAGGAGACCTGCAGGTCCTCCATTGGTTGAAACGAACCGTGAAATTTGCGCTAGACGGTCAAAAATTTACGCTAGACGCCGAACGTGAACGTGAGAGGTCGCGTTGGATCTTCGGCCAGATTCTCCGCTGGAACTGCATCTTTTTTCAAGCGCCGTTTCGATCACGATAGGAATCTAAGGAGAAGGGATCCGAGCACGCCGAAGCATATCTGGGGATGGATTTTCTTCCCGGCAATTTAAGCCATTCATTTCCTCTGCCTACACGTTTTGGAAATTCATGGAAGGAAATATTTCGTGCCTGCCGAGTCCTATAAGTATTCTTTGAGGATGCGACGATGCAATCCTCGTCACCGTCCTTCACAACAACTGCTACTGAGAGAGCGAATGAAATAAAGGAACCTAAGGATGTGAAGAAAGGAAAGCGCAAGCGGAAAGAGCAAAGAGACCAAAAGCAAATGTTGTACTTCTCTCGAACAGTCGTCACCAAACCGACTCGAATGGCGACCCGGTCGCAAACTGTCAAAAACGACCAAAATATTTCTCTATCCACCACCATTCATAACGATGACTAATAAATAAAATTACAATCGGTGTTCTAAATTAGAACTTGCCTTTAGGGAATAAGTGCGAAAGGTTCCTCATCAGCAATGCACAGCCCTATCAAAGGTGCTGGGTGGAAGGAGGATGGAGGAGGGGGGTAACTGGGTGGAGCGAATCTCGTGATCTTGTGAAACTCACCTGTTGGGTTCAATGCGATATAATTCGATTACGTTTTTGAAACTCATGCGAAACTGACGTCTGGTTGCTGCTTTTTCTTTCATTCGGATCTTGGCTTGCTAGTCTTACTGGGATTGTCGATTCGAGGCAGCCCCTTTCCGATATTGCGTGCATCCAAAGTTATTCCTCGTGGGGGATTAGCCTCTCGAGACCCGTATTCCGGGAGGCACTGATCTGGAGCAGTCAAGAACCATTGCGGATTCGTACTGCGGGAATGATGTGGGAAAACTCCAGACCTTTCTTTTAGTTCCTTTTATCCTCTTTTGGGCTGAATCCCCTGAAAATCCTTCATGACGATAGTACTTCGATGGCAGAAACTGAATCTGTTTTAAGGACAAAGGGGGGGGGGGGGGGAACTTCCCCGAAAAAATATTTTCTACGACAGCCGCACTTGTTTCTGGATCAATGGAAGGGGGGAGATGAAGTGTAATGGATCGTAATGGAAGTGTAATGGATTCCATCGATTCGCATCCTTCACTTCCATGGGACACGTTGTTCACTTCTTAGACACACGATCGCATCGCTCCTGTCACAGCTGGCATCGAAGGCCCCCCAAAATTCCATTTATTTGAATGGAGTTTTGAGGCAGCGACGGTCAGCGACTGCATCGCGTGGGACCAGGTCCAGCACGGGACCGGGTCCAGCACGGGACCAAGTCCAGCCTCTCATCGCAAATCTGGCAGTGGAACGAGGCCATCGCACTCATTTGAAGTTGCATTACAGCATGAAGAGAGCCCGTGAGTATGCACGAGTCGGAGCGATGGGAAATGAACCCCTTTTGCTTTCGTTGGAATCGGTCGTGGAATTTCTTGAAATTTTTTATTTTATTTTCACGTCTCCTGTCTTGTAGGACGGACATCTTGGAATCTTCCCTCATTTCAATCGAAACTTAAAGAAATGAATATTTCTTTGATGTGCCAATTTTTAGCCCTTCATCACATCAGCTATCGTACGCAAAGTACCGACAGGGAAAAGGCCAGGCGATTCAGGATAGAGCGTTCCCGGCCGAGAGAGAGAAATTGCGCAAGATTTGCATTACGAATCGATGCACATCCAATCACTTGATGCATATGCGATCGCGAGCGACGAATTACATGCCGATACTAGAATAACCATGAAGGCATAATGATACCGATTTGAGGTCGTCGATCGACAGGCAAGACCTGAGCGACCCGCAGTCGACCGAGAAAGAAAAAAACAAGCAATTATTGCCATATTGCCAAACTTCAGCCGGATCGGATATTCCGTTCGCGATTCTCAAGCGATGTCGGCCTTCGTAGAAAAGTATTTCGACCGAGAGACTCGTGTTCGCGGTTCATTTCCAATCCGGCGTCGTTAATCCGCTTCCGTGAGGATTAAAGCGCGGAGCAATCTCATTTTGGTCGGTCCGATCCCATCGAGTTCAATTACATTCCATCCCCTTTCACTTTCCTCCACGAGATCGCTCCTCCGATCCCGGAAGTTCTGGAATGCCAGGCGGATCCATGAAAGGTTGCCTGGGGCTGGCTCCCTTCCCTGTCTCCCCGCGAAAATCCCAGCTTGACCCTTTCGCTCCCAAGCGGAATCGCATCTGCATGCGAAGAGCCGATTCATCGGATCCTTCAGATTCTATAAAAGCCAGAGAGACAGCTGGAAAAGCAAAGTAACCGATGGCCCACGGAAACCCACGTCCTCTCGCGAGCTGCCTCCGCGAAGCTGCAACGGAGACGGGCGGGCGCGCTCGAGTGACACCTAGCGCGAGAGCGGAAAGACTGGAAGTGACGTTGCCGTCGAAGAGATGCCGAGACCGTCTACGCGCTTAACAACATGGACCATGAATTAGACGGCCTCGATGAACTTCCCCCTCGATCCCACTTTTAAGTTCCTTTTCATTCACAATTTTCTGCGGCACACTGGACAAACTCACCGCGAATTTGTACTTTCATGCCTCTTTAAAAGGATTTCTGAACGGGTATACCAGTTTCATTTTTTAAAACAAAATACTTTCTCGTTTGTGGACCCCGCCCTCCCCGATTCCCATATGGGAATTTCCGATTTTCGGCTCTCCACTCCGGTCGCGGCGCCTCCGGTGTTCATCCACCCGAAAAAAATTGCACCCAGAATTACCAAACGGCGGGGAAAAGTCACTCGAGACGAAAGCACTGAAAAAGCTAAGGGAATTTTTGTCAGTTTTAAAATCGTACTCTTGTAAAAAGAAACAATATCATACGTTTTCCTGTAGTAATACATAGGCAGTCTGGCCCTTTTTAGCTCCCATCCCACAAATTCCCTATGACTCTGCCACATTCGCCTTCTTGCTAAGACACAAATCGAATGAGAGGAGGGCCATGTGTAACTCTGCCTCGAATGGGGCGAAGGATCCCCCGCAATTTTCTCTTTCCCCACCGAGGATACCCCCACTGCTCAGGTTTTATTTCGAATGGTGTGTTTTGATCCAAATTTTCCCAAGATTTCATGGTGTGTTTTGTTTTGTTTTGTTTTTTAACTTTAAAGTTCTGAAAACAGAGGGAAGTGCCAATGGAAACAAGTGAGAAATTCCGACCCTGCTATAAACTCTGCCCCCCCCCCCCCCCCCCCCCCCCCCCGCCCCCCGCCCCCCTCCCCCCCCCCCCCCCCCCCCCCCCGGGGTTACGATGCCCAGTCTTAAAACGCTAATGGACAGGGCGTGCATTCTCGTCCCGATTGGCATGGATCCCAAAACCACGAATTCCAAAACGTGAGGGGGCGGACTTTAAGATTAAGTGCGTCGGAATTTATACGACTTATCCAAATGCAGGACGTTTGAAAAACACGCAGATGCAGAGAGATCATTTTTTTATTCACGGTTTTGTTTACAAGCAGCCGGGAGGATATTTTATCGGTGGCTTCTTTTGCCAATAATGGGACCATTCTATCCGGAATCGGCCCCTTTCCAGTGCCTTCGTGTTCTCGCCTTATCTGCGGAATGGGCGATGCAATGGATTTCCCCCCCACTTCCCTTGGGAAACCATCTAGATGCCAATAGAGATACCAAAAGAGATGCCAATGAAAGCATCACATTTCAAGTGAAACACTTTATTCAGTCAATACATGCCGCTTAGAAATACGAGGGGAAACGGACGCACACGACACCCGATACATTCATGCACAAAAATGACAGTCAAAAATGCATAATCCACGGGTACGTCTCATATCCTGGAATGCAAATCCGCAATAGAACTCGTCGGCAAGGGGCAATTTTCCGTATCTTTTGTACTGGACACGCATTTCCACACACGACACTCAACTCGCACGACTAGTGACACTGAAAAACCAAGTTTATGTCGGACAAAAAAAAATGCCTGTCTTTCTTCTCTTTCTGGTTTATCACAGGTAAACCTACTCGTAAAAAAAAAAAAAGTCAGTCCGTCGTTCCCTGTCTCGGAGAGATCATTCCTGAGATTTCGTCAATTTTCTCTCTTCCAGGATGGAGAGAAAATATTTACACTGAGTATCTTGGGGGTTCGGGGCTAAAAAATATCGAATACGGCTGGTTTAAGAAGCAAGGTTTGGTCGTCCCTGGAAAAATTCGCTTTGGCACATGTCTCCCGCGCAGGCACGCGAAATCAGTCCATGCGCGCGTATCGCGGGTAAGCGAGAGAATCCAACCAGAGCTTGCACTTGGGATATCCGGAGAGAACGTCGACTCTCTCGCCGACGTGGTAGAGCCCTCGGGGGTATCGTTCGTTGTTCTCCAGCGTCCCCTCGTACACGAACCCATAGAAGAGGTCCTGGATGTTGTCGCGGAACCTCTCCTCGGCGGCGCCCGAGGCATTGTACATTCCTATGATCGCCATCACGTCCGCGAACGGGTCCGTCACGTTCCCCACGAGCGTGGCCCTCCCCTGCTCCGCCACGTAGAAGTAGACCGGACTCGCGAAGGAGGTGGCCGCCTTCCGCGCCAGCTCCGCCAGGGGGCACAGCGTCCGGAGGTCCGTCACCATCGAGTAGTACTGCGGCCACAGCACCTCCTTCCCGCCGTTCGTGTAGGGCATGTACTTCTGGATCGCCTCCGTGGCCAGGTCCACCGACAGGGAGTCCAGGTGCGAGTGGACCAGGTTGTGCATCTTGTCCGTCGTGTTCACGAACGGGTCGAAGCGCTTCGCTTGATTTGTCCAGCCTCGATATTCTGCGTGGGTCGTCGTCCCTAAAAAAAATTTAAAAAACAGTCATGAACATGAAATCATCATGTTTTTCTGATCTCATCGTTAAAGAATTCGTTCGTTGCCTATGTGACAATAATAGGCAGCGGGTTTTTATGCGCTAAATCGCAAGGTTTTCAAATATATTTGCGCTTAAAGTGCTAAAACACCATTAAATTTGTACAAAGTGGGTAAATACTAGGACTACACCGATGTATTGGCTAACACCGATATCGGCCGCCGGTGTTGCACCATCGGCCTATGGCAACGATGCCGATGCCGGTCCCCGAAGGACAAGCAAAGCGGAAAATAAAATTACATTCGGGTGTTGACGCGCCTCGGCGCCAGCCCTCCTGTCCCACTTCGGCCAATCCTGCCAGCCTCTCCCAGGCAAAAATATCAATCGGATCATATTACAGCCGTGTTATAGGAACCGGCAGAGGAAAGTAGCAGTAGAGAACGGGATATGATTGCATCTCCATTTACGTCAGGCTCTTTCAAGGGATGTACGTGTCACCAAATGCTCTCCACTGCAGCAATGGGTAAGCAATCTAACCACGGACAGAAGCATCGAGAGACAGACAGGCTGGACGGGACCAAAAGTGATTTTCTATCATTTCGAGGAGTCCTACCGATGAGTATAACATGGCTTCCAATTAGGCCTATTTCAATTTATGGGCGATTTCTTCTACAGGCCACAATTGGCACCGGCCGATGGTTATGAGGAAAAAATGGACCGTCGGCTAATGAAGAATAAAAAATGGACCGTCGGCTAATGAAGAATAAAAAATGGACCGTCGGCTAATGAAGAAATTCTTTAAGAAAGAAGAAATTCTTTAGGGAATGGCACGACGTCGTACACATCATAAGCTTCCCCTTTCCCATAAAAGGGCACAAAAACCATGCAATTATGTTTCTTTTAAAAGGGTATCAATCCCTTCCTTTATTAGCAATACGTTTCTATCAGGGTTGCATGCTCATACGAGGCGGCAGAAAATATTCATTTGCATGACAATCTGCTCCCTATCACGCATCTGAATTACCACTGCTCATTATATATTCATTATATCTATCACACATTTCTGGTGAGAAAAAAAAACACACACACACATCCGCCTCAATGCATAGAGCATTCTCATCCACGAACTTACTCCCGAAAGCTGCATATGAATGAAACCCCACGGGAAACGACAGAAAGCGCGAGGCAAAAAGAAAGCCGCGTAACGAGAAGAGGCCGACCCCCCCTCCCCCATCCCCCCCTCCCCCTCCCCCCCTCAGATCGATTCCGGCATCATTCTACATTATGCATGGGGTTGGAGGACTTGGAAACCCCTCGGCATCCCCCCTGAAAAGGAGCATCCACGCGGCCAGTCCGACTTTGTATTCCGCGCTCTCTTCTTCGATCTGAAAGCATTGGGCACGGGCCTCAACTGGTGCGAAACTAATTTTATTTGAATTTTTGGGAGTTTCATAGGGGAAATTCTTTTCAAAGGACTCGATAATCGTGCCGAAGTGAACATCGCACGGAAGCGAGTCAGGAGCTGGCCTGTCCATGAGCCGCGAAGACATTGCCAAGACGACCGAATATGACTCAGCCGCCAGATCATATATTTTGGCACCACGTTCAAGGTCAGGAAGGAATTACAAACAAAAAGTTAGTTTAGAGCTTCGGAAGAGTGTCTAGCGATCTAGATGTTACGTTAAAGAGTCCCCTTGACCCTTGTCCCTGCGGAAGGCCGAAAGGCGCAAGGCACAAAAGACGTCATGAATAGCCAAGAATGACCCAAGGATCAGCACGAGCGTCGAGATCATCAATTGACAGAGACGAATGTTTACTCTCAGCAGAGCAAGAAGAGGAGAAAGAGCGAGAGAGCACCGTCGCACGAAACCGTCCCCTCCTATTGACAGGGCCGACATGTTCGTTGCGAGATTGATGCAAGGCCTCCGAAGGGCTTCCCCCATCAGTCTTGCTTCATCAAAGAGGGGGGCGCTACTTTTTTTTCCCCCCGTCTTGGGAGGTTTTTTTTTTTTTTTTACAGGAAAAAAAATTTTCGTTCGAATTACTCTTGCCGTCTGGACAGGATGTAGCAGTGCCGCAGGAAGTTGAAAGAAATTTATTTAAGATTAAATGGGGAACTCTGCGGTCTATTATCCCCTCTTCCTTGCAACATTAGTCTTTTTTTTTTTTTATATCCACCAGCAAGACCTGGAGATGAACCCGGTGGGATTTCTCATAGCGTCAATGCTACAGGAAACCAATGAACTCCTCTCATTTCCCCATCAACCGCAACCGGTAGAACGACAAACCACAACCCAAATTTCGAATAAACCCAGTCAGCTGACCGCTCCGGGCCCCGGGGTTCGCCCGGAATCGAAGAAAAATGGCAAAATCAAAGCAAAAAAAAAAACCAATCGACTCACCGAAGACGAGCGGCACGTCGTGCCTGAACCGATCGTCGGCCCAGGCATCGGTCGGCTCCTGGGTGAGAATGTGCCCGTCGATGGTGAGCCACGAGTGGCGCACCTTGTCGCCCTCCTCGGGCGGCAGGTCGTAGAAGAACCGGGGCCACGTGGGCGGCACCGCCTCCAACAGGATCTCCGGCGTCTGCCTCATCAGACACGGCAGATTCGAGCAGCCGGCCCTCTCCCGGATGATCGTGTTCAGAGTCTCCGACACGTACAGGGACTCGTTGACGAACACGCCGCTGCCGCTCGCGATCCACGCCCTGTGGAACAGCCGCCTGGTCCGGTACTCGATGGGTCGCCCCCTCACCGGAGCCGTCAGGTCCTTCACCTTCAAGGTGGAAGTCAAGGCCGTGACCAGCGTCGCCCCCGCCATGTGACCCAGCAGCGTCACGCTGTTGAAGTTCCCCCCAAAGTGCTGGATGTTCATCTGGACCCACTGGAGCGCAGTGATGACATCCCCCATCCCGTAATTCCCCGACACCCCCGACACCCCGGGCGACCCCTGCGACAGCTCCCTCAACGCCAAAAACCCCATGACGTTGAGCCGATAGTTGACGACGACGAAGACGACGTTCCTCCTCCTCGCCAGCCCCACCGACGGCACGAGGTCCCCCTGCATCCCCCCGTTGAACGTCTCCCCCCTCACCAGCACCACCACCGGCAGCGCCTTCTCGTACGCCACCACCGGCGTGTACACGTCCACCGTGAGGCAGTCCTCCGCCCCGTCGTACCTCCCGTCCGAGTAGAACTGCCAGCACGGCGTGCTCGCGTTGTGCGCCGCGTACGTCCCCGCCCAGCACTCGCTGATGTTCCGGTGCGGCGTGGAAATCCTCCACCGCCTCTCCCCGACCGGGGCCATCGTGTAAGGCACTCCTCGGAACACGTAGCCGCCGTCCTCCACCAAGCTGGAGGGGAAATGGAGAAGTCTTGGAATTCGAAAACACTGGAATCGGTTCCGTAGGCCATTACCGCCCCCATTAATTTTTTTCTCATTTATTTACCTAGTTTCTGCTTACAAATAGTTTCCCGAGTCAATGTTTGCCCTCGATAGTTCAT